CTGCGTAACTTCTAAGGTAAGCGGCCTGCTTTGACTCACTGCTTCCTCTCTCTCGCTTGGCAAAAGGCCACAACTTAAATACTTGGCGTTCGCCAGACAAACTTTGCATAAAAACCTTAACGCTTATAATTCTGGCCGGAAGTAGAAAATAAGAAGTGATAGTAAAGATTTAAAATAAAATAAACGTTAGTAAAACTTAAGATCCTTACAAAAGAAAAATACATTATATGTTTTGCGACGTAATTACAATATTTACACCCGAACGCGTCAAATCATAGAACTCAATGGTAATGACCAATGTTTTGGTCACCACGTAGGGATCGCCGGTGCTTCAGAGCAGGGTACGGAGAAACTTGTTTAGGGCGACTCCTTCTTACTTCCTACCTCCATGCTTACTGTGCTGGGGGGAACATGTGTTCGCTTGGAAGACGGCGTACTCTGACACGCCTATTGACTTAATGAATGAAAAATCGTGATTCATCTGACCAGGCAACTGTCTTCCATTTATCCATGGTCCAATCTCGATGTTTCCTGGCCCACTGTTGACGTAGCTCACAGTGACGTTTAGATAACAGAGGTACACGAGTGGGACGTCTGCTGCGCAGTCCCATATCCAACAGTGTTCGCCGACCTGTGTGTTCTGTAACACTTGCACTTGGACCTGCAATGTACTGGGCTGTCAGCTGAGCCACTTTTGGCGCCAATTTCGCTGTACCAAGTGGGACAGTTTCCGACGTTCTTTTACTTGATGATGCATGAACGTCCAACACCTTGGCGTCTTTTGTTGGTTTCATCGTCATTTATCGCTTTGCATAAATACTAAGAACGGCAGATTGTGAACAAATTATCAGTCGTGCAGTTTCGGAGTTACTTGTTTCCAGTCTTCGGCCCATTACAATTTACCATTTATCAAATTCGCTTTGATCGAACCAGAATATTCTTCGAATATAGCACATGACTCAAATACTAAAAACAAAAGCAATAACCAAACTGTCTTCCAAGCCAATAATACGAATCCTACCAGTCAACGTCTATAGCAAACAGTAAACGTGTTACCTTACTAGCATTATTTTAATTAATTATTAAATGCGACGGAACTAGAAGAATTCAAAAATAAATTGGAATATTTTTTGTAAAAATATAGGCAGTATTTTAACCCTTTTCATATGCATTTCTATTGTACTTGAAGGAATATTTCAGTCCGCTTACTGCGAATTTTGTATTTAGAACATCAGCTTTCAAACTCCTTCAAAAGAAATATGATATTTGTAATGTAAAACTAAAAGACATTCAGATATATAAAAAGGAGACAAAATATTAAATTTACGATTTTGAGGATGTCTCATATACTGAAAATTTGAAATCTATCAACAGAATGAAAGAGTTAAGTTTAACTTTATTAACTATTTCACGGAATCAGAACTCAGTTAAAAAAATTTTCCCCCTCGCCCACTTCGTCTTCTGGATATATGTAGACATACATATACACCAAAGAGAGTCTTATCAGCAAATTTTGAATAAAGCATTAGGGATTTTTTTTTCCAATAGGGCATATTGCACTTTACTAGTTGCCATATTTCCAGAATAATTAGTTCTAGAGCATTCAGAGTTGTAATAAAAGCGATTTGCTGTAGAAAAGCATGTCGATTATAATTCAAATAATATAACTTCAAAAATATTTGGAAGTGAAATGCACTGCAGGTTGAAAATCAGCGTTTAAAGGATTTCTTATTACACCTTAGAAATGATTTTAGATGCAGAAAAGGGTTTAAATAGGAAATTCTTACAGAGAAACACATTTCAAAGTCAACAATGCATATTGTACAAGACAAAATATATCCTGGTCTTTCATTACCAGAAAATATGACTTTATCAACAATTGCGATTCTGTGATAATAATAAATGTTGCATGTAGTAATAACAGCTTATACTGACATCAACGGACGCGTGACTGAATCATTATCGCTTGGTTAATCAGAGCGATGACTAATGGAAGTAAGTGGTTTCAGACGAAAAGGTAAATGGAACGATACAAGCCAAATTCGAAAAGGAGAAAAAGTGCATGAGCGTGATTCATAATTGTTTATTTAAATACTTGTTTTCTAAATGAATGCACAGTACAGTTTTGTAATCAATATGCAGCGTAATCGAATTGGAAAAATATGACGCTGTCGTGAGTAGAAAATTGGAGAGCAGCAGTTAACGGGATGAATATAAACATTTAGACAATATCGTTTTTGAAATTTCAGTAATTACTGACCATGTTTAGCTAGTTAGATTTAGTATATTCAGCTGGTAGCATATATGCATGATAAAATTGGGGGTAAAATTTTCGAATTCAATTCCGAAACCAAGATCCAGAAAAATAGTTAATAGAATTCATTATACTCTCTTTTACTGTTTAATATACCACTTTCACTGTGTTGATTTCAGATTTTTAATATGTCAGATATCTACAAAAATTGTAAATTTAATATTTTGTTTCCCTTATACACATCTGAAAATCCTATAATGTTTCATTACGGATACCTTTTTTCTTTCGTGGGAGTTCGAAAGCTCGTGTTGTAAATACAAAAACCAAAGGGCACAAACTAAAATATTAAGTATAATTTCAGAAATCTGTGCTGATCTAACCACGTAAACGACAAAATTAAGGTAAAGCAACTAACCCTTGAGAGGATGAAGAAGTTTTCGAAATTTCTTTTTTATTATTATAGTCATTATTTATTTGAAAGGTAAAACATTTTACTCAATTTTATTATCAAAATTAATCCTGATGGATGGGGTAGTTCCATGGCGTTTTTGTTGTTCTTTCCTAAAGCGTATCTCACGAAGACGACCCTACATTTAAATAGCCAGCCCTCGTATACTTTACTATAATTGACTAAACCAACTTAATGCGTGAGTTATTAGAACTAACAGATGATTTTTGATAATTGATGATAAATTTTATGCTCAAATTTTTATTTCTCATTTTGAATATCTGACAAGATTCATCCATTTTATTTCATTTTCTCTCATAAAATTACTTATACCCGATAACAAAATAAATATACTCTTTTTTTCTGTTAGATTTTTCTTTAGCCAAATGCCTTTTATTTATTAAATACTAATGCTAGAAAGTCTCTACTTTTTATATAAATAGTTTCTCAAAATAAGGTAGAGAATTTTATAAAAAATAATTTCAACACTGCAGATGAAGAGCTGCTCTGATTGGTATGATAGTTAATGGAACCGGCTGTTATATCGTCGGGCTCGGCTTCGAATCCCGGAGTAGGTATGAATAATTAACTTTGCAGCATAGCGGCACCTAATATCCATCCAGCCGAGTGTTCTCCATCAAAATTAGGACGGGGCCGGAAAAAAAATCATACCGTCATCTCATAAGCTGCCCAAAGCCTTGGCCACCACTCTTTCCTTCAAAAACAGAAGACTAACCAACAAAATTTAAAAAAAAAAAAAAAATTTACATTTAAAAAATTAACTTTTTGTATGCCATTCGCATACCCCCTCAAAAAAAACGTTTATAAATATAAAAGATCATGTTAGAATGAATTCACTGATTTAAATTATTTTTCAGTATCTGTTAATGAGCAATATGTTTCTCGTCAGTCTGGTGTTTATTGCAATATTATATAAACTTTCCTCAAAACCTCTTAGTCATAAATGTTATTTGAAAGTATGCTTTACATAAAGTAACTATGCATGTTTAGTATTTGTTTTAAAGAATCCTTAATGTAATAATATTTGCATGTTTTACGAATTTTCACGAATAAATGGATCTAAACAGCCACTTAAATGACAAGATACTCAACTGAAAAGAAATTAGACTAAGGGAAATAGGTTAACATATTAGCGAAGTGCATAATAGTGTTCTACCTGCATGTGATTTCTAAAAAATAAAAGAAAAAGCTCCTCAAATGAATGTCTCCCTTTGGAATTAAAACATTAATTCAAAATTTTGAAGATACTTGTGATTTTTGATCCATTAAATCTCATTGATAAGTACTGGAATGAAGCCAAAAGTTTTAATTCTAATTAATGCTGGAGAAGGCCGAGAGACTTCTAAATTGTCAAGAAAGAAGGCTCGACAGGTTAAGAGATAAGATTCGACTTTGTTGAAATCATTTTTGGAGGGCAAGGGTTTGAAAAATTAAAGTAAATGTGGAAGAATGAGTAGGGAGGGGGGGGACAAAAATGGCGCAGCTATAGAATTTTATATTGTTGTAAATATCTGAATCTTTTCTAATCGTATTTTTGTTGTTCTGTACTGTTGTTGTGTTATAAGTTGCTTTGTATTATTTTATTTATAAATTTTATTTATTGTTTTGAATTTGATAAATTTTGGATTTATTTTGCGTTTAAATTTATTTGTGGCCACAAGTCTTGTATTTAAATGTTTATTTGTTATACATAACTGTAGCTATTTTAGTTCTGAGTACAACAACGTTGAAATTGTAAAAATAGTTTAGTTAAAACGCGAAATGCAGACAATTTCATTCTTGACGAGCCTCAGCGACATTTGGTGATTTCTTGCCAACTTGGCCATTTTCTGGAAGATTCATGAAAATGCATTTTTGAAATTCTGAAGTCGATTCTTCCAGAAGTTTCCAGAACAGTTTAGAGCAGGAGTTCCTAACCCTATGCTCGCGGGCACCATGGTGTCCGCCGACCCTTTAAAGTGCGCCCCCCGCTGCGCCATCACAATAAAGATGGTTTAGTTTTCAATAAAACTCCATGTGAAAGTTTTCACAATTTTAGTGAAATAGACATTGCGTCCAACACAGATACCAGCAAAAAGCGGAATTCGACCGATCTCATTTTTTATGTTCATGTATTATGAACTCTATCCAACTATAAATTCACCTTGAAAAAAATAAATGGTGCCCGCTGTCCAACAGATATTCTAAAATGTGCTTTTAGGGAGAAAAGGTTTGGGAACCCCTGCTTTAGGGTATAAATACAACATATGACTCCAGATTCTGTTTATTTTTATACAGAGTCACAAGAATAAAAGCCATTTGGACTGTCTCGTAGAAAAGAAGGAGCAAGTACTAGATGCTATTCCTTCACAGGTATGTTAATTTAAAACTAATCCAGTATTATTTAAAAGTTATAATACTCTAGAGCAATGAATATTGGACGGATGTAAATTGAAAGAAAATTTAAAATAGCACTTATTCAGCATAACAACAGATTATATTGTAGAGACATTAAGTATTTTTGGAAGCAGGCAAAATGAAAAATGAGCAAACGCCTTCGCCAGGAACTGAACCACGGACCTCTGGAATACCGGCCCAGCGTGCAGACCACCACACCACGAAGGCGGGAGAAATACCTGAAATACACCCCCCCTTTTAAAGGGCAACTGGGGATTTTAGGGGACCCAATCGCCAAATCCTAGGCGAGGAGAATCATCATCCAACACTCTACTAGTTCGGGCGCCACTGTAGAGACATTAGGTATTTTTAGAAGCAGGCAAGATGAAAAATGAGCAAACGCCTTCGCCTGGAATCGAACCGCGGACCTCTGGAATACCGGCCCAGCGTGCAGACCAACACCTAGGAAGGCGGGGGAAATACCTTATAACTTACTCTAAACTACAGAAAAAATATTTACGACATTTTAGTAGTAAAAATTACTCTTACGCTGAATTTAATAACTTTTGCGAAACTTTAATAAAGCGCGCAGTATAATTATAGACCACTTTCAGAACGTAAAATCGGTAATGATTGAATATTTTCCCTCCTTACATGAAGAAGCCAATTATGCCACGGACCGGCGTGCCACGGACCTGCGGAATCCAACGGTGTGTTTCGCTAAGCCCGGGAGCCAGCCGTTTCGGTGGAGATAATGTTAATTCACCCCGTATGTATATGCGGCTTAAGTGTCTCTTTATCGCCGATAGTTTATTGGTTGCTTGCGTAACTGTACTAGCCAATGGGGTGAAGTTGCCACGGTACAGGGTGGCCGTTTTAATTGAGACGTAGACAATTTCCTGTAATACTTGCCTTTGCTATGACTATCCATAAGTCTCAGGGCCAAACGCTTAAGCGTGTTGGCATTTTTTTACCTGAGCCTGCATTTGGACACGGTCAACTTTATGTTGCCTGTTCAAGAGTTCGTGAAAGAACGAACGTAAATTAAAAATATTGGATGATCCTCTGCAAGGCGAGTTTAAAAATGATGGAAAGATCTACACAAGAAATGCTGTGTACAAAGAGATCTTTGACATGTGAATTAACATTTCATTATTTAAATCACCTTTATTGATTGAGCTAGCGGTGGGCTCTTAAGAAATTTACCGCCAGTGGTTTCCTTCATTGTACTCTACTTTAAGCAATTAAGCAAGTAGAAGGGGGAAACCCCGTGGGGCAATAAGCAAAGGGGCGTCCTCGCCGCCGTAATTCATAGCAGACACCTTTGCACAAATCATTGTAATTACAATTTATAATATCTAGAACAGCGGTCATTTCGTATGACAGCCGGGCTTTCCAGTATATATGTTACCGTGAAAGACCGAAATTGGAGAATGTCGACTTTCACCGGAGAATGTCAACATTCACCAAATACGTCGGTGAAATATAGAATATTTCTTTACATTCTTGTACATTCGGACCCTCACCGGTGTATGTCGACAATCACAGATATGCTCTGGTGTAGGTCGAAAAGAGAGGAGTATATGTACACGCTGCCATTCCAAAAGGAAGTGTTCCACATATAAATGCAGTTGTAAAAGCAAGGGCCTCTTGTGCAATTCAAAGTGTCATAATAGTTTAAGTTGTTGCAATAAATAAGATTTGAATCACATAATTTGGTAAGTTTATAACTTCTATTACTCTCCTTTCTCATTTTGAATGTACTGTGTGTTTTAAGTTCTTATATTCTTAAGTTCTTATTCTGAGTCTCAAGTGCGTTTTTTCGCGAATGAATTACGGAGAAGGAAATATAATATTCTTATATGTTCAACATTCACCATTAGTACATGGTGAATGTCGACATTGACCGGTGTAAGTCAGAAATAAGAGTATTTGGAAAATATTTCGGACATACACCAAGAGACTATGTGAATGTTGACATTCACCGGTGAAAGTCGACATTTTCCAGATTTCGGTGTTTCACCGTAACATATATATAAAGAAAAGATGTAGAGAAATTTCTTAATTTAATATAAGGCAATACAAAATTAAACTGATTTAAGTCCTACAGGAATTTAATTCACATACAATTTTATTTACACCGAAAAGGTTGGTTTAAGTTTTATTGTTCTTGATATTACATTAAATATATTTTCTTTACAGATGTAATAAAAATTAACCTTTCAGATATTGAGCGCGTTTTATGTAGGCGATACATGTTCTGCATTATATCGCCTACATAAAAAACACATGTGTGGAAGTTCTGATTTGAAACTGAATTAATGAATATTATTAACCAAAGTAGCGCATTTAATAAATTTTAAATATGCTGCAGTACAATCCAGCCATATATATCTCAGAAATTGTCTAAAAACAGTGAATCTTAGCGCCTAGGTAATTAATTGTACGATATCAGAAGAATTAAATACAAAACTCAGACGAGAATTTTTAAAATTATGAGACGGGAAATTTTTTTTTATCTATGTATAAAGTCTATGACGCTTTGGGAATGTAAACTTTTAAAAAGTGTTTTGAAGAATTATCTTCTAACCTTGTGAAACTAAACAAAGATCAGAAGAAGGGTGTATAAGACCTTTTATTCAATCATAATATTAACAAATGGCCCAACTTGGGTTACAAGACTTGGGTCACTTCTGGCTTAACAGAAAGTAACAATTTCAAGGTGTGTAGGTTAGCCTAACAGCTCACAGAATACCTTTACCGCGCAGGAAGAGCTCTGGACGGTTATTCTACGCTACGAGAGTCGACAGCAAGTTGTGGGCCGCCAGATGTCGCTGCTAGTAAAAAACAGGACGGTTATTCTACGCTACGAGAGTCGACAGCAAGTTGTGAGCTGCCAGATGTCGCTGCTAGTAAAAAACAGGTCTGCTCAACATCCTATATTCTCTGAGTACGAAAGTTTTCGAAAGCGCGTGAAAGAGTGTTGCCGCTTCGTCAATCAGGTTTGTGCAGTTGACGTACTACGTAGACAATGGCTTTGTATGCGTTTTCGCCGCTGATTTTTTCATATTTAAGCGAAGAATACTGTCGTAGATCTCTGAATCGATGGCGAATTTATAGAAAATATGTTGATGCTTTTGCTCTGCCAAAAGATGTTTTCATTGCGTATTTCAGATTGCCAAAATTTATAGTTATTTTAATTTGCGATGAACTGAGAGAGTATTTGGAGCCACATTCAGAAAACAAGAACGCAATTTCTACTGAAAATAAGGTTATACTATTCCTGAAATTATAGATATAAATTGTAATTATATGCTTTAAAAATGTAGAAGATAAGTTTATCAAGCACATGAACCTTCTTGATTTAATACAAATGTAGACATCCCATAAGCTTCTACTCAATTTATGTACAGCAAGAATTACGTTTACTTTATAATCTAACAGTTGAATACCTTACGAATAATACTGCGAACACAAAAAGGAATGTCGTTCATTATTACACGAAATTCACACTACTGTAAAATAATATATATATATAACTTTAAAATAGCTTTATAATATTTTTTTCAGTGGCTGTACTACTACTAGTGTGATATTTTTAAAAATAAGTTTTAGCTCAGAGGGGCTATTAATTTCGTTTTGCCATTTTGTGGCTTTTCACTTTTCAAATCGTTGCCACCAAGTATTATCGCACTCTATTATATTTAAAGAAATTAAATAATGAGGAATCAGCAGAATGTATGAATGTTTCTCGCACTGTGATAAAACAACGGTACCTAGAGCCATGAAATTCTGAATAACGTTATCCTCCATCCTAATATAGGCATCTGGAGGCCCAAATTTGGAACTGGGAATTTGTTTTATTATCTATTTCATATTTTGTAAAGCATTTATGAGTTTTTGATTAAGAAACCCAACGATTTCAAAGCGAGCAATGGCAACATTGTACGGAAAAAAGAGGAAAAAAAAAAAGAAAAAAAAAAACATTTTCATCTGTAGCGCGCGAGACTGTGTATCGGAATTTCTAAAGATATGCTTTTTTTAAGTTATATGATATTGCTGTTGAATTGAATTTTATGGTTTAAGTGCGAAAAACATGATATTTAATAAATAAAGGTAACACGCAAAACGTTAAAAAAATGGCGCTTTGGGAATAATATAAGATCTAAAGGATTTCAGATTTTTTTTTTTTTTTTTTTTTTTTTGTGTGTGTGTGTGTAATTTTATTACGTTTTAAAACTGGTTTCTAAGTGAGGACTTTCTAAGGGAAACTGGCTCGTATACAAGTTACACATGGGGAAAGCCATGAAAACGCCGGCCACCTCGTTCGCGGGATTCGAACCTCGGACCAAACTACCTGCGTTCAGCGACTCTACGCTCGGCGGCTGGTGGGCTTGTTAGCAGAATTATATTGCATTATTATTGTATTATGCTATAAAGTAACAATGCTATAATATAATGGTTTGTTCATGGAATGGTACTTTTGTAACCTATTATAGTATTAATATATTAATACTATAATAGGTATATATATATAATATAATATTGTTTCTTTGCAAATTAAAAAAAAATACTGTTCATAGCATTCTCATTTTTATATTGTAAAAGAGATATTGATTATTATTAGTTTTCTATTTAAAATGTGTCGAAACGCTGGTTTGACAAGGACTTCAACTGCAGCAGACCTACACTGATTATTTTTACTTGCATTGTGAAAATATTACTATCTTTTAATTGTTTTCACAGAATAAAATCTTTTGAGAAGGAAGAATATTTAAACTGAGCAGTTCTTATTTATATAAAAATTTCAAATAACAGCAATGTAATATTAAAAAGAAAGGTATTCGTAATTGTGTGACAAAAATTGCGAAACGAATTAATCACACATACAGGATAAATTAGTTCAATTTTGGTTATATATTTTATATTGAAAAAATGTTTTCTTTCATGCTAATTATAGAATAAATTATTTAAAA